CGAGAACAAAGCGCGGATAACGCGCTGGAACCGGAGCGCGTTAGTGCTAGGGGGCATGCGAGAAAAACACCCCTCTGGTTCCCAGGCGCGGGGTTCAGATAAAAAACCGGCTTCGGCACACAGGAACAGGGGAGGCTGCAGGCGCTGCGGAACACCGCGCTTCGTCAGGGGATTAAAAGCACAGGGCAAGGGACAGCAAATCGGTTTGGCGTGCACTACGGAGGCGCGTTGTGTCTCCTCATCGTACCTGTGTCTTGAACCTTTGTGTGAAACCGGTCATGGAAACTTTGAAGGTGAACGGTAATAAAATAATTACAACAATCTAAACGTGGGGATGGGGGGTGCTACATACTCAGGTTTATTTCATATAATATTTTCATATTCGTTGATCGTATTGTTGCAATACAACGATATTTCGGGTTGTGGGAAAACAGGGCTTTTAATTATAATTTAAAACCCCTTTCAAATTTCTAAAGGTTCAGGGGCTTTTTTTTTTTTCCTCTCCCCCTTTTTTTTTTTTTTTTTCTTTTCAGGCCCTCTTAGCTCTGCTGCTCAGATTTTTTTTGCCATAATGAACATTATCTGCTCAGGGGATTTTTTTGTTTGTTTGTCTCCTTGGCAGTTTTTGGTCTGAGGAAAAAAAAAAAAAGCACGTTGCATCTCAGGACTGGTTAGCTTCTTTGTTATTGTTCGGGGAGAGACTTTGCTGGTGGGATTTCAGCAGTCTTAAATTATGTGAACTAGTTCTCTTTTATGTTACGGCAACACTCCAAGACTCCTAAGAAGATGACTTTCCTCTTCAAGAACCGCACTTATTACACCTTATCAGATCATGGCAATCCAGATTTTCTAGGGTTCTGTTCTTAATTATTAATGCATAAATTTGCCAGGATGTAACGTTGCTAACTTTCAGTTCTCTAGAATGGTTCCAGTGTTCAGTGAGATGTTATGCTTTTTTTTGTTTTCCTTGGCTGCTCTGCTGTGGCATCCTTGACCTTTGGGAGGTACTAGTTGAATATTTCACTCCTTTCAAATTATGTTCTCAACATAATTTTCTCTGATGCTGAGGATTTGTTCTTAAAATAAACAAAGGGTTGAGTTAGGAATTTGTGCATTATTTAAAAGGCGGAGATGTTTATTTGTGCTGTATGTTTCCGTCTGACTCACCTGTTTTTCAGACTTTTTGATTTAACTTGGATGGATTTGTCTCTTGCCTGTCCCAGTGCCCTCTTTCCTTGGTTGCCTTCATATCGTTCAAGTTCTTTTGTTTTCTCTAGTAACTCCAGGACACTTTTATCTGTTAAATCAAAAAGATTCTGAATTTAAGTTGTCGTAAGGAGAAAGAGATTAGCACATTTATTGGAAGACAGAGCAGAAGTAATGATGCTTAAGAACTTTGCCAACATATGGAAGAAAAGCCTAGGTTTGTAGGCATAAGATTCTTTTATTTTCTGGGAGCTTTTTTAAAGAAACAATACATACCACCATTGCAGAGAATCAGAAGCCGTTTTGAACATTTAGGACTCTGTGATGCAATTCTAAAAAACATTGTCAGTGTCTTCAGATTTTACTGAAATAATATAGTTTAGTAGATTTGACTGAATGATTGGGTGTTATCCTGAAATGCAGGGGAGTTAACTGAAAGCTTTGGATTTAGAGGGATTGCTCTGCTACATATTTGACCTCAAGCAACAGGTATGATTCAGTAGCCTGTTAATAATTGTTGTAGGTCTACATGATAACTCTTCTGTTTGCTTGTTAATAGGCTGGATATTCATCAAAAATCGTGAGTGACCCAGTTTATCCTGCAGATCCCAGGGAAGAACTCTTAGATGACTGTGAGAATATTTGGAAGCAGTTGGAAGAGGTATGCAAATCACAAGAGACAGGCTTGATTTGTTGAAAACTTTGCTCAGCATCTTTGTTGTTCATCTCCGGATCTTTCCCTTCATGCTTACCTTACCCCTGCCAAAGAAACCACTGCAACAAAACAAGAAAAAGGAAGAAGATCTTCAGAAAACCCAGAGGCAGAAGAGCTGGCAGGGGTGAAGAATGCCTTGCGGTGTCAAACTTTGTTTTTAGTGTGCTGATGTTATGAGTCAGTTAAATACAACAGGAGTATATGTTAAAACTAGGCAAAATGAAACAATCTACTTGTGTTCTGGTCCTACCAGTGCACTGAGACCTGAGGTCCTTCTCTCTATAGTCTCGTGCAAGATGGGATGCAACTGCTCCTCACAAGTGCTTCGGATCTTCAAGGGGAGAGGGGGTGGGAGGAGTAGGAGGCTTAGAAGGATGATGATGATGATGATGATGACAGCATATGCCCACGTAAACTAGCAGTTTCATCCTTAAGAGTGAAATTTACCTCTCTCAATATATGTTTCAGTATGCTAATAATAACATTTTAGAGCAAGATAAACTTTTTTTTCCTTTACACTTTTGAGGTGTATTGCCCTAAATGACTTAAAACTAAAAATATGTATTATAACACAATTGTTCTGTTTGGAGAGACAGAATAGTAGCAGCAAGTGTGTTAAATTCTCAGCAGCTTCCCTGTTCAGCCTTGTCCATGAGTCTCTTGATAGTTTCTTGTGTTCTTCAGCTGTTCAAGCCTTCTTCATATCAACTTTTCCCTCATAACCTTTTTTTTTTTCCCTCAAATCATATCTTTTGTTAGCTGCTACTTTTGGTCTTTTCAATTAATTGAAGTTCTGTGGATGATTTCAGAATATTTCTTCACTTGCTGCTCTGAGGTCAGACTCTGAGGGATGTGGTACGATCCAAGTCAAAACTCTTCTATTCTTATATTTAAAAACTTTTTTTTGAATTTCAAAATACTGTGTTCCTTTCTTACAAAAGGGAAAAAGTATGTAAATGTTGTGTTTTGTTTGTTTTCTACCTAGTGTCACAGCAAGTTAATGAATATGGAAACAGAAACAGTACTAAACTCAAATGGCCAGGTAAGGCAGTATTTTTTTTTTTTTTTTGTAATTATCCACAAAAGATTTAGATTTCTGTAAAAATACGGTGTATTTCCAAAAGAAGAAATCTAAATCATTTTTACTTGCTCTCTAAAGCTGACAGCTTGACTCTTAATAACTTTGAAGCTTTGTTCTGAAGTACATGTCTAGCAAATATTGAATAGTTGCCTTTATGTATACCAAAAAACATTACATGCAGTCTTGCCACAGAATTTGGACCCAAGAAATGGTGATGAATGGAGGTAAGTCCAGCTGGTGGCCGGTGACAAATGGTGTTCCCCACAGGGCTCAGAACGGGGACTGGTTCTGTTTAACATCTTTATCAGTGATCTGGATGAGGAGATTGGGAGCACCCTCAGTAAGTTTGCAAATGACACCAAGCTGTGTGGGAGTGTTGATCAGCTTGAGGGTAGGGAGGCTCTGCAGAGGGACCTGGACAGTCTGGATGGATGGGCTGAGGTCAGTTGTATGAGGTTTAACAGTGCCAAGTGCTGGGTCATGCACTTGGGTCACAACAACCCCAGGCAATGCTCCAGGCCTGGGGAGGAGTGGCTGGAAAGCTGCCTGTCGAAAAGGACCTGGGGGTGTTGGTCAACAGCTGGCTGAATGTGAAGCAGCAGTGTGCCCAGGGGGCCAAGAAGGTATCCTGGCCTGTATCAGAGATAGTGTGGCCTGCAAGACTAGGGAAGTGGTTGTACCTCTGTACTCGGCTTTGATGGGGCCACACCTTGACTAGCATGTTTAGTTTTGGACCCCTCACTCCAAGGATATAGAGGTGGTGGAGTGTGTCCAAAGGGCAACAAAGCTGGTCATGGGTCTAGAGAGCAGGTCCTATGAGGAGCAGCTGAGGGAGCTGGGATTGTTTAGCCTGGAGAAAAGGTGGCTCAGGGGAAGTGTTGTCACTCTCTACAACTACCTCAAAGGATGTCGTAGCAAGGTGTTGAGGTCAGTCAGTTCCCCAAGTAACATGCCTCAAGTTGCATCAGGAGAGATTTAAATCACAGAAAGGTTTGTAAAGCCCTGGAACAGGCTGCCCAGGGAAGTGGTGGAGTCACCACCCCTGGAGGTATTTAAATGGACGTGATGCTTTGTGTCATGGTTTAGTGGTGGACTTAGCAATGCTGGGTTAACGGTTGGGCTCAATGATCTTGAAGGTCTTTTCCAAATGAAATGATTCTGTGACTGATAAATTACTAACAAAGGCAGCAAAAATGGAGGGGTGTGTAACTTCAGTACCTCTTTGGACTATTTTCTAATCATTGCCTGTGTAACTTGGGAAAGTTCCTATGAATATCTTTAGTTTTACTGGAAAACTTTGAATTTGGAAATTAGAATTGGTCCCCAGTTGTGGACTTCATCAGGAAACTGGTGTGCTTGAGTTAGAAATAACTGATTCTGAGTGCACAAATGTGGGCTCCTATATCCCTTGAATTTTGGGGAATGTGCAAAAAGGCAATGCTGGCTCCCTGTTTAGTTGTTTGTAATTTCTAAATAGGAGTCTTTAAAATAGAATTTATGAGGACTCCAAATTTGTGAGTTATAAATAGTTCTTACTAAGTTCTTATTTTATAGACTTACTGAGCAGCATATTTTGCTAAGGGTCTATATAGGGCATGGGAGAGAGACATCTCGTGTACGTATTTGCTGTATGTATTTGTCTGCTAAGAAGACAGTCCTTGATTTAAGGTTGCTGAACAGTAGGGTTAATTTGTTGGAAGGGTTTTTTTTGTCCCGTTACTGGACTATCCAGAATGTTTTGTATATCCTTCTTCATCAAGTTTAAAGAAACGAAGAATGAGCTCATGGTACCATCAGGAGTAAGTGCTCTGTTACAAAAGAGATAACACCACCTGATCTAGAAAATAAGGAAACTTTGTATGGTGATTATTTCTTCTGGTTTGGGTTTGGTTTGTTTTCCTTTGTTGTAAAAGGTTATCTTTTGAATATGCACTTTACAAAGTTATTTGAGTAGTGAAAAGCTAAGCTTAAGTTGTCAGTTCTTAATATATTTGTTGTAAGAACTTGGCTGATGATTGGTTAATGAAAAGCCAAATGCAATCTGCAGTGCTTTTTATGGAATGCTTGACCATAGCAGCAGTACCATTTGTGTTTAAATGTATGCTTAATTTCTCATCATACTGCACATAATTTGATATCTATGTAATTTACAATGTATTTGAAGAAAAGTTATAGATGTCATCCTCAGTTTCAGGAAGTGGAATAGTATAATGGATATATTCTTTCTCCTGAATATGGTAAAATTAAGCACATTTTTTAAAATCTATTGTTATTTAGTTTGAAGGGGGTTTATCAAACTTTTCTGAACTGGTGTTTTTTCTTGTTGCTCCTATATTTTCAGTGATACAGTAAGCTAGAGCACTAGTCTAAACCACTTGTTGTTGAGTCAACAGGTGTGATTTTGAAAGAAGATTTAACTACTGTTTTTTTGGAAACCAATCTTTTGTTTAGTCATCACATATCAGGCACAGTCCATATAACCTTAAATGTCTATCAACCATGCATCTCAGGAGGAGTGGCAATATGAAGTATAGGTATTGTTGCTAGTGACTCAACATCTGTTGTGGTGCCTCTGATACCACAGAGGCAATTAGGGGAAAAATGCCAGCTGACTACTTCTGACTTCCCATTTTTGAGAAAAGAGCAAAAATGTGTTTTAATTGCTGCGTGTGTTTTTTTTGAAACTTTTGAAGGAGTAAGTGGTCGTTGTAAGAGATAATCTTTGTTTTCTGCTGTGTAAGCTTAATTGAGTTTCTATCCCGTTTTATTTTGTTTTCCTCCAATGCAACTCAATGTACTTCAACAGATGCTGTTTTTCTTGTTACACAGTTTTCTGTGTTACCAATTCGAATGCAAGCTGCAACAGCAGAATGTCTTCAATGGCAAAGAAGAAAACCCAAATGTAAGTACCTGTTTCCATGCAAGGTGTACGTAAACTTTTGCAAAGTCTTTTTTCCAGGCATCATAAACAGTATACGTCTAGAATGTCTGCTGATGGTGTTTTCATTTTCACGTATGTTTCATTTCTGTATTCTTTTTGCACTTGGGTTCTAAATGAGCCTAGAGTTCAAAATGAATTCGTAATACCATAATCTCATAACTTACAATTCTGGTAAGATAAATTCATTATTCTTATAACCATTCATCAGTCAGTTAAGTGGAAAAATAACGGTTGATTTCCTAACAAGATAGAAGTTCATTATGCTGTTACTCTCCTTCAGCTTTCTCTGTTCTATGATTGATTCTTCTCATTTTTTTCATTTGTATTTTGTTTTTAGGACAGAACTGCTTTGGCAAATAATTATGTTTTCATTTTGTCTTTAAGAAGCTGATTAGTTTTTATCTTTGCAAGCATTGCTAATAAATAGTGATTTAGCCACATGTTTTTAACCATACTCTTTCAAATTTTTTTTTTTAGTACTTCGTAGTATTAAAGTATAAAGTGTGTTATGTTATGATGTCCTAACAGAAACTTGAAAGTAAACCTTTAGTGATAAGCCTATTACACTGTAATAAAATCTATCTTGGATTTAACAGGAGTCTTGAGACTTTAGGCCAAGAAAAGGTCGTAAAAGACACTTCTGTTTATTTTAACAAAACAGGAATCCAGATCACTTTATTGATCCCCAAGAAGCAGAAACCACTGAGACAAATGGTAGCTCTTCTATTTGTTAGGTATTATCAGTTAAGAGTTGTAAACTCCTCAGTTCTTCAAAATTCCTTTTGTATGTAAGCATCAGCTGATTTCACTCTGTTGCAAGGCTGATATGGCCAGACACTGAAAATAAAACCACTCAGAATCTAGGTGTGAGTAAAGTAATCTGTTTTTTCCTGTATCCCATTTGTAGACCCGTAAACCAGTTGACACTACACAATCATTAGCATTCTGGTAGCACTCTGTTAATATCTCCTGTCAAAGACCTATGAGCACCTTTCAACCCAGTAAAACCTATTAGATAATCCTTAGGAGGATACGCTTACTCATTTGGGTATTTTTATGCCAGAAGAGGCTTGGGTATTTTAGTGTTTACAAAGTGGTGAAAATGCAGGTTAGACAGCAAATGGTGATCGTCTGGTATTTTGTCATTTGGCCAAATCTGCGTTCATTTCCAGATGAACATTAAAGTCAACTCTCCAGCTTTCAAAGTTCACATTCTTGCTGCATATCATGATCAAATAACAGGGGCTGAGGGAAAAAAAAAATATTCTGTCTTATAAATAGATATTGTTGCTCTGTTAGTATAAATTCATAGTGTGCCTTGTAAGCCTGTCTCTAAGAATGGTCAAATGCTTCTTAGAGGTATGTAGACCAAAAGTATGCACAAGGAATGAATTTGGGAAATACTGATTCTTGGCTGCTGCTCATGAATAAGCGGCTGGCTTAAAGCAAATTGATTTAAAGCACTTACAGTTTTTTTGTCTGGGTAAAATACCTAGAGATGTCAGGTTTCCTTACTAAAATACGTAATTATTTTAAACTTTAAGCTATTTGCTTGAAATATTCTTGGGGTTTTACCTATTTTTATTGGCTTGCTGACAGGCTCTGCTCAACTTTGCTTACTTGTTTCCATGTGATAAGGTTTATTATTAGAAATCTTAATTTTCTACTAGAGAAATTACTTGTGCATATTATAATGCAAGCAATATTTTGCACCCAAATATTTGCCTTTTTTGCTAACTTTTGAGGGAAGAAAAAAGAAGTTGCTACTAAGAATTCAGATACAGTGTTTGTATGAAAATGAGGAATCTACTGTGCTTACATCTTTTCTGTCCATCTTGGGTCCTTTCTACCTTCTGTTTGTTTTGAAAGAGGAATTACTCAAGACATTGTCTGAATTTATCTGAATAGAAATAGCAGAAATACTAATTTAATACAATTTAACAATAGAACATGAATGTCAGGCTCTCTTGTTACTTTGGTTTCTGCTTTTAGTAATGGCCAGCTCATTTCTTGTAAATGAAGGCCTGTCAGCATTTCAATTTTAAACCTTGTTTTTAGAGGTTATAACTTGGCAGTTCTACATTTCTTTGGGCACAATATTGGCAAACAGACTTAAATCCACAATACAAGTTTTATTTTTGCAAAGGTTTTACTTTAGGCTCTTGTTCTTTCTAAATTTCTGGTACTATTTATATAGCTCTAGAGCTGCTAAATCTGCTGAATTAAAACTTTTTAGCAAGCAGTTGGCTCATAGAAACAGAATTTAACTTTTACATTTGCAAAATAAGGAAGTGGAAGCAACCGTATTTTAAACCATAAAAAAAAAAGTTGTGGTCTCTGCATATTTTCTATTTTTCTTCACAAAATAGTAGTATTCTGCCAAATTCATCTTGTTTATATAGAAACACCTATTAAAATATTTGCATAGTAGTTGCCTTTACCTTCCTATCATCTGCTAGTATTTTGCTTAATAATTGTACTATGTGTCACTAGGTAATTCTGGTTAATGTTTGATTTTTTGCCAGTGTAGTAATTCATAACTAAAAAAAGCTTTAAATGATAGTAGGTGGAGCAACCTGTGCACTTCACAGTAGCAGCTGCCATAAATGTATTGTCCCAGCATCTTAGATCTGCACTATTCCTTCACTAAATTAGGATTAGTGATTTCTTTCCTAGGAAGATGTGGAAGATGTGGCCTTCTATCCCAATACTTACACAATATGAATATTGAATGGGATTTGCATACTCAGGATTAGATATCTGAAAATGAAGAAGTGTTAGGAACCAATAGTAGAAATGGATAATTCCAGAGAGTGAGGGCTCATGATAATCGTGGGGTGGAGGGGGAAATAGTTCTGTGGGTTTCTTCAAATAAGAATATGTGAATAAAATCACACCAATGTATTTTATCATGTGTATGCAGGATATTCATATCGTTAAAAAAAATCTTGCTCTAATAGCACAGGTCACTACCTCCCACAGCTCTTAGATTTAAGCTTTATTTGGGGAGCACACAAATTTTGTGTCAAGATCTAGAGACAGTAGTTCTCTAAAGGGGATTTTATTGTGACATATAGTTTAACACATGTTGAACTCAGTAGTTTTGCTGATTTTCATCTGGGAACAAACACTACTTTTAAAACCACTAATCTAAGGCTTATCAAAATTTGTGGAGCTAAGATATAAAATTTCTCAAAAGTACATTTAGAAATCTATTAAATCAAGTATATTGCATTTAGGAGATACTTAATGCCTTTTATGAGAGTGTCAAAGGTTTGCCTTTTTGTTAAAAGAAAATATTCAAGTAATTATTTTTAAGAGTAGAGATTTGGATCTCCATCTTGGACAAAAAAATATCCCCATCATACTGAGATTTAAATCTGTTAGAGTAGCTTTCATTTCTCCTGTTAATACATTCAAATGCTTCACTTCTGAGAAGGTCGTATGTTTATGCAAATGCTGCAAGGTGATATGGAACTGAGAATTAATACCTGAGTCTATTGAAGGCTATCAAATGCAAGAATTCACTCTATTCAGGAAATCCTTGAGCTGTAAATCAGTATGTTTTGCAGAAGCATTCTGGGGAAACATTACCACATCCTTGATTAGTACCATACTTGCCCTTAAGTACTGCTGTTACTAAGGAGTTAGAGTATTGGCCTTGCTGGGCCTTTCATCTCCCTACATGTAGCTGTTCTTGTGACGATGTGACATGCTTTTTAAGTACTCTGACAGTTTTTTACAATCCTCATCAAGAATCTGGGAGGCTGTTTAGTAAGGAATTGGAAGACTGGAAGAATTTGCCCACATTGATAATGTTGATGGAATCCCTTCCACTGAAAATCAGGCTTACTTATCTTGAAGTATGACTACACTTCCCATTTCACTATTATGTACCTATACCTCTGTATCTGAGCTAGTTCAGGTATAAAAAAATTACACAGAAGTATCAAACCACGCGTTTGTCGGTCTAATTTACCTTGCTGAAAGGTAGGAGTAGGTTAGCCCAGCAGGACATCACAAAATGTGTTTAACCTGCTGCTGACAACCAAGTTAGGTGTTTTTTTTTTTTAAGAGGCTACACAAGTTTCTCTCTAGCCAGGCTGCTTTTCAGTATAAATAAGTGTGTATCATCCAATGCAAAAAAAAAAAAAACCAATTAATTTTATTTTTCAGTACTTTCTACCAAACCAGAGGTACTGTTAGCATTAGGAAAAGAAGAGGTAAGTCTTTTTTTTTGTTAAGAGGTAATAAAATTTTGTTGAAAAAGTGTATGCAAATGCTGCATTTTACTATGAGTAGTCTTGTAGTGGACTACTGCAAAGATACCATGTATGTTTCTTTAGGCATTGTTATTGTTCTAATATTTTTCTTCCTGTAAAGAACTATTTTTTAAACGAAGTTTTTATATATTGTATTTCATACTTGATAAAAAGTAATATAACATCATGTTACACACAAGAGTCAGTATTAAATCTAGAGTTCTGTGCCAATAATTGCAAATAATTTGTTGAGTTCTTACACCCTTGGAAGAAAGAACAAATGAAGAGTGTCTTATGGGTAGCATTACACTATATTGATTGGTATGCAACATGGCTTGAAAACGTTCCTGTGGCTACAGGTTAAAACAAAACAAACAAAAACCCAAACTTTTTTTGGTTTTCTTCTTCCTAGCAGCTTTCTTCCCGCTAGTATCACAACAGGGAACCCAACTGCTGTTATGAGTCAATATTAACGAGCTGTTTGGTTACACTTTCATTTGCCTCTATTGCTATGGCATGCTTGATCTAATATCCCATTTTGTGGCCTGTTTTGTTGTGGATTCCGATTTTTCAATTTTTTTTCTCTTTTTTTTTTTTTTTTTTAATTAAATGGTTGCATATAGAGAGTATATTTGCTTCTGTACAATATTTTCCACAATTTTTATTTCTTTGAGCTAAATATAAATGTTCTCATAGTGCATGGAAGGAGTTTAAATTAAGACACCATAAACTACTAGAAATACTACTTTGTAAAACATGAAGCACTAATGAAAGACCCAGTCAGTCCACTGCAAGTCCACAGTTCACTTTCTTCAGCAGCACATACAGCTTCAGGCTGCAGTGGTTCTACTTCTCCTTCCTGCCTCTCCCAGATATGTCCGTATCTCTGAGGACCGTTTCGTTCATGGCTGCAATTAGTTATTCTCTGTGAAGCATCTTTGTTTCCTGAGTGCAATACGTTATGTTGGTGCAGTTAGCACGGATTCATTTCGGCAAGCAGCTGCCATGATTTAGACAATGCTGCCCTGGTGCTGCAGGTGTTTTCTCCTCGGTCTTTCATCAGATGAGCAGGTTTTGTGTTTTACAGAGCTTTAGGAAGTCACTAAGAAGCAACTGGTGACAGTAACATTTTGAATAGCTCCAACTGGATTTAAAAACAGTGTGTGGCTCTATAGCCGTATTTCTTAAGAAATTACAGATAATTTTGGTCTTCTTTACCAGATTTACAGATGTAACTTTACATAAAACAAATAGCACAGACTGAACTGTCTGCAAACTGTAGGTTTATTTCTACTGCTTTTATAGTTACAGAATGTAAAGAGTGATCTTGACATGCTGCTGTCAACAGTTGAGGCAAAGAATAAACAACTGGAAGAAGATCTGGAAAGGTAATAGAATAACTTGGATTCAGGAATGCTGTAAGCTTTTTTACCACACTTTTTTTCACTGTCCAAGGAAACTATTTATCTTTTGTGCCCTCTCCTACTTTTCTTGTATCAAAGAGAAGAGCAATGGCAGAAGGAACAGGAGAAGTTACTAGATGTCCTTCATGGAACTGAAGAAGATGTAAAAGCACAAGTTGGACAATTTCACAAAAAAAGGTATTTCTACAGTGTTTAGCACTTTTAAGTATCAACAAGAGCAAATGAGCAAACATACTTTCAAAAACATATCCCTTGTTTTGTTAAACAGATTGAATAGTAACTCACTAATCCATATTTAAAGCATGGGAAATAGTGCTACTATCTGTTTATATCCTGTTATTCAAGCTGTCAAACTTAGAGCAACAGAAAATAAGGGATTTTTTTTTACTTAATAAGAGCTTCTTAATTATTTTATTGAATATCATATTTTATTGTTATGTTTTTGCTATTAGTCGGGAAGCTAGAGCATTAAATGAACTGCAAAGGAAAATTATGAATGTAAGCGTGTATAAGCAAGAACTCCTGGATGCTCTGGGTGCATTCCTAGAGGAACATTTCCCCCTTCCAGAGAAAAGTGGAGATGCTAAAAATAAGGTAAGATTTTCTTAACTGTTAAATTTGGAGTGTTCAATTTCTGTTTAATTAGATGCAATCTTTTTAAAGGCACTAGCATAGAATCTGCAGTTACCTTTGGAAATAAGTATAGTTCCTACAGTTGATCCTTTAGGTTTAATTCATATTTTTCAGGTTGGTTTGTATTTAAGGCTGTTCCCAGCTGGATATTTTATTTCTTAATGCATATCCTTTACACAATGAGATGCATAGCAATGTATTGTATTTCTTACGAAACTCCAAGCTGTGCCAAATTTGGAAATGGGGAGTTAATCCAAATTGTTCCATTTTCTTTTACTGGACTAGGCAAGTGGATTCATATTTTCCTTGGCAAAGCAAATTTTAATTGTCTAACAATGTTTTTGGAACGATAATAAGGACAAGTGTTTATAATTACAGTGTAGTTTGGAATGTTAACCATCAGTTTCTGTTCAGGCACACTGGGCCAAAAAGTATCTTAAAACTTCAGGAAAAACAGGCAGTCAGGGAGTATTTTGCATAATAAGTTCTAAGTCTGCAGTGAAAAGTAAACCTTTTACCATTACTGCTTGAAAGAATACTTACAAAAAAGGTAGGGGTTGATTTTGATTTCAGATATACTTAAGAATATGGAAATAGGGAAGTGGATTAAAGAAATCCTTTCTGTTATTTCAGACAACCACATAATATAATTTTTATAATATTATCTTTGAGCTCCATTGTAAAACTAATTATTTTTGTTACTACTGTTTCTATTGTGGTTTATTCTAGTACCTCAGTGCTCTAGTTAGAAACTGTCTCCTAACTTCCAATCTAAACTTATTCAGGTCTAACATCAATCCATGTATTTTTACATACATATTTTGTTAGAATACCTCTTTTTCTTTCTTGTGTTTATTCCTTCTTATATATTTATAGACAGCAACCTTATACTCTCCCTATTTTGCTAATTGAACTAGGAAAGCTTTCTTGTTATTCTTCTGTAAGATACTTCTTTCAATCCCCTGGCTTGTTCTAATGATAGCCGTTTCCTTTATCTGCTTCGACGTGGATTTATCTTTTTTGGAACCTACTAATAACCAATATTGTAAACAGAATTATTAGCTAACAGTCATAGAATCACCATGGTTGGAAA